CATTTTACACATTTGTTTGATCCCTGAGGGGTCTGTCAGGCTCCGTCATCCTGATCTTTAGCCTCTGATGTATATTTAATGTTCTCATTTAAGTCAAACCAATCAAACGTTTACTGTACGATGAGAAGTTATCCCACATTAGCTTACCGCTAATAGCAGATCCAGAGCCGCTATAGGAGCAAAACGCAGGTATGTGTTGAGGGCGGGTATGATTGGCTCTGTGGATCTGTTATTGCTTCATATCTGCTAGCAGTAGCCGCCATATGCTACTTGTTATACCAGACCAAGGAAGGGTGTAGTGGTGTTGCAGTGTCTTGCCTTGAACCTGCATTAACCCGTTTTTGACCACGTGAGCGGCGGAAACGGGTCGGACACAAAACATCAATGTATTATTATCAAGTCGATATGGCCACAAGGAAGGTTATGCTATGATTCTGGTTTTGGTTGCTTGTTCGTCAGCAGGATTCCAAAGAACTCGTCCGATTGTCACGAAACTCCTCGTTGAGGATTGAAACAAGGGCCCAAGGAGGGACCCCTGGGGGGACCCCTGGACACCTCGGAGTTATGCCTCTGGCTACCTGTCGAATGCAGGTCCAATATTCATTATTTTAACATCTGTACAGTTTGCCTTTTGGTTCTATTTTTGAAAGAAAAACAACGTAAAGTGAGAAGAACAAAAAATTGCAGAGGTCAAATAATATAAATTATGAATAACAAATCAACCAATGGTAATCGATGCTGATGTCATTTGCTTTCTTCCAAGAACAAAGTCCTGTGACAGTGCTGGTACCCCCCCCCCTCAACTTCTAATTCATTCCATGAGAGTTTCCCACTGGGGTTTGTGTGGTGACATCATCGACATACTCGGAGCCGGCTGGAGTCAATAGTCACCGCCGGTCTGTGTCATGCCGGGGAAAGCATCGCCCCACAATTAGGGGTGAGGGGCCCCTAATTGCTTTATGTAATAATATGCTGCAGTGATGCGCTCTCCTGGGAGCCATGAATGTCCCCCCCCCACTCATCCCCCCCACACCCTCCCTCATCATCTCCTTTCTCCAATAAAAAAACATAACGTCAGCACCATGACAACAAAGGGGCAATTCACAGGGACTGGGGGGCCACGGGGGCCTGGGGGGGGCGCTTGGTACGTGCCGCACCGATGAACAAATCAAACACGTTGAAATGTCCCCATTGGGTATTATTAGCAACCCGCGATCACGTGTTCATACCATCTATTTGTTTATCCGGCAGTCAGTTAAGGACAGATTTTACTCTCATTTGATTGGCTGGAAAAGAGAGAGGGGGTGGGGGGGGGGGTAATCGCAGTTATCCGATAATGATGTATGGAAATGTGTAAAAGAGGGAAGTAGCTGTGGGTCATCTGGACGGACACGTGGGCACAGTGAGCAGCTCGTATCTCCCTAAATTAATGAATCAAATAAATGCTAGTTCTCTGTCTGGTGCAAAAAGTTCTTTAGGTTAAATTTCAGCGCTGCAACTAACCATTATGTTTTATTAGCAATCTTTGAAAATATCCGACTTGAGTCCAAAATATATATTTTTTTAAACTCATAAAAAATATCATCATGGATGATAGGACTCCGTTTAGACACTGGTGGCAGGAGACGATCCACAGCTGCTGTCCAATGAAAAGCACATATGGAGAGGGGGGGGGGGCAATTTCAGAGATCATTAAATATTTGAACGCGTGTAGAATAAAGCAACCAGCAGAGGGCAGACTTGCAATGGAAGAAGAAGGCGCGAGGGCCTCGCTGAGTAATTGGATCAACATAATTTATTGCCTTAATGCACTTTGTGGTCCATTAGCAGGCTGCAAATCTGATTTAATGTCATGATTGAGCTGGCAGGCCTTGTGCCTCAGACGTGTATTCATTCACAGTCATGACGCATCCGTGTCTCAGGCCCAGCGTCAATTGTCATGGGACATGTGGTGCAGATCAACATTCTCAAAACCGAGGCGCGTCCGATGTGATCAGTAAACTATCGTCACGCTGGAGACGCTGAAGAAACTTTTTAGGGCTCTGAATCGTTTTCTAACCTCCCTTTTCCCCTGTTTTTCTCCGTGAGTCCCAACACATGTTGACCATCGCGCAGAGGCGGCTGCATTCTTGACCTCAAAAGTCCTCGCAGTTGGTTTTCATAAGCACGCTGCCTGTAGAACGATTAGAAACAGGCCTTGTCCTGCGCTTATTATTCGATTCCATGCAGAACAATGTGGCAAGGGCCAAAAAAAAAGAGCCCACTTTTGGATTAATCCGAGAGATTCTACTGTCCCCTTAACGTCTTGTGTCCTACAGACAGTATCGACATCACTTGCGTGGCACTACGAGCGCTTTTCTTGAACTTTCCATTCGCAGAGAGAATCAAACCATCTTCCATTGTATGAAAGAAGAGATAGCGTGTGCGTGTGTGTGTGCGTGTGTGCGTGTGTGTGTGTGTCTATTCTTCCGGTGTCCTTTCAAGACTCGGTGGGCACAGGATGAACTGACATAATGACACATAATGAACAGTGTGACACGCTGAGAGAAAAGGCACCAGGCAGAAGATGATCCCCAGGAACTGGTCAGCATGGACGTTTCACAATAGACTCTTTATGCTGCTCGGAGACGGACTGAGAAATAATTGTCTACTTTTGCAGCAAATAACAGCAAGAGTTTGAAGGAGAAATGCAGGACGATTAAGAGTGGAGCAAGAAGCTTTGTCAATACATCCATGAATTACAAAGTGGCTCCCTGTTGCATGCAGACAGACACTGGCTTTGCTTTCTGCAGATAGAAATGATGCCGAATTACATTTGAACAATTAGAGGCTGGTTAAATGCCTGAAATGATTTGTAATTAGCTTGTCAGGCCGGTTTTCACGTCAACTGCCTGCGGAGATCAAAGAAAACAGTGTAATTGGAGATCAATCGGCCTAAAAACTGGGACAATGTTGTTTGTGCAAGTGGATTGTCTTCATGTGCAATACATGCTAAAAAGCAAAGTGGAAGACAAAGGAAGGTGAGTGAAACAACCCAGATACATGATAGATAGATGCATAGATAGATAAGGATAGATAATCGAATGAATGGATGGATGGATGGATAGTTGGATGAATAGATGGATGGATGCATACATCGATAGACAGATAGATAGATGGATGTTCTCTGGTATTGATACTGCAAGATGATGCCGATCATGACGGGGTTGTTGGAGAAAAAAATCGGATGCTAAAGAAAGAAATACAATAAATATATTAAAGTTTTTTAATAATGTATATATAAAATGTATGTTACACACATATATAAATATATATATATATATTTATATATGTATATATAAAATGTATGTTACACACATACATTTTATATAAAATATAAAATATATATATATATATATTTATATATGTATATATAAAATATATATATATATATATATATATATATATATATATATATATATATATATATATATATAGTGTGTATATGTCATATGTGTAAAGCACTTTAACATATGTGTGTGATATACTTTTAATATATATATCCACGGAGTATTTATATATGACTACTCATTAATGAAATTATTTTATGTTATCAAGGATTCGGTGAATCTGACTTGAGATCGATAAATTAGCCCGCTGGGAGATTTAAAGGGGGCGCGTTTCTACACTCGCGTGAATAAAAAAACGGCTGCTTCACGATGAAAACCAAC